GCGTGCGAAGCCTGCGCCCCGCGCGCGGGCCCATTGATGGGCGGCGTTGGGCAGCAGCCTCTTCTCACCGAGGGCCAGCTCTTTCCCAGCCTGTGCCGCGCGGTTCTCACCGCGCTCCTGCCCCGCGCACGCACTCCCCACCTGCTCCTCCGGGGAAGGTCATTATCCCGCTATTCACCGGCAGCGGAGCGTGCACGGGGGACGCGCGGCGCATTGTGCTGCCGGGCGCCGCGGTTGGCTGCCAAGCGTGGGAAACTCCGGGACCCACCGGCTCTCCCAGCGCTCGCGCGCTATAAAAGCGGGGCAGAGCTGGCTCCCGCCCCACGCTTCTCCTGGACGCCCACCCTCCCGAGACCCTCCTGCCTCGCTCGGGACAAATGGCTCCCAGCGCTGTGTTCTTGGCGCCTGACACTCTGCTGACAGCAAAAGAGAAAAATAAAGTAAGTACCAGCACGGCCTGGCGGCTCGGAGCTGCGCGCTCAGCTCTCGTCACAGCAGTTTGCACCACATGAGAAACTTGCCCACGTCCTTTAGGAACAGAGATGTGCAACTAACAGTACTGTGAAATGTTTGAGAAAAGATCTTTCAAAGAGTAAGTGTCTTTTCCTTTGCTTTTTGCAGCTCAGGAAGCCGGTGGTGGAAAAAATGCGCCGCGACCGGATTAACAGCAGCATCGAGCAGCTCAAGCTGCTCCTGGAGAAGGAGTTCCAGCGGCACCAGCCCAACTCCAAGCTGGAGAAGGCCGACATCCTGGAAATGACCGTCAGCTACCTGAAGCAGCAGAGCCAGCTGCAGATGAAGAGTGAGTATTGAATTTGTTGCTCTCTGTAGTTTACTGTAAATTCATGACAGTTAATGAAACCATAGCCATAAGCAATTGCCCTTAACTCTTTTCTCTTTCCCCTCCTCTTTTCTTCCCTGTTCTAGCTGCAGGATGCTTTCGTAAAAGCTCTCAGTTTGACTTCAGGGAGGGCTACTCTAGATGTCTGCAAGAAGCTTTCCATTTCCTCTCTCTGCATAAAGTCCAAACAGAAACACAGACCAAACTTTTAAGCCACTTCCAGAAGAGCCAGTCGGCTGCTCCAGAGCTCGCCTTTCCGTCTGGCCACCACAGCACTCCGAAGCAAGGATCTCCAAAGGACACCAATACCCTCTGGAGGCCCTGGTAGTCAGGGAAGTGCTTCCTTGATGGACTTTTGCCTTTTAGAGTCCAGAGGAAGGATCTGACTGCATCTGATAGTACAGCTCTGATCCTCTCTTCCGTAGGGAATATTATTTTCCCATGTATTTTATTTATGTATGGAAAGAATGGAATACTTTTGACTTTTATGGAATCTTTTATGGCAAAAGTTGAGGCATTCTGTTGAGTGGTATCGATGCTGCGCAGGCACTGGTGATAACAGCGCGCGCGGCACGCGGCCCGGGCAGGGGCAAACGTCTTCATAGTGAAGGAGTCTTTTTGTAACGGGCGGGAATTGCTGTAGGAGAGATTCTCTAACGTTGCTGTAAGAGCCATCCGTGCTGCTCTGGCTTGACCAGGAGCCCACGTTTGCTGGTCACTCTGGAGAATAGATTCCCCACCCTTGGTTCATGCACACTTGATAAAACAATTTCCCCCTCCTTGCTTACCACTTACGCAGAAACAGAGATCAGTTTTATGGTTCCCTAATGGCCCTTTCATAGTCTTAGTATACAGAGTGGGATGGATGAACAGAAGCTAGGAACTATGTAGAATATTTCTACTGCTTTGCTACTTTTTTCATTTTAGAAAAAGATTATGTTACTGCTTTATGTTAAAGAAAGGATAGTAGATAAAAGGCTGATTGGTTGATGTTATACATTTTGGGTGTAAGCTATGCTTTTTCCAGCATTTTCATATTATTAATGACTTTTGTCTGTTTGGAGTGCTTTAATTCACTATGGATGGTGTTTCTCCCATTACTGGGACAGCCCTGTGGCTTGTATGCATACTGTGTATGTGTCTCGGTGTTGCAAAGAGCAATAAAAATGCATTTGTGTGCAACTTCTGCCTGGCTTCTTTCCCTCTGAAGGATATGCGGCCACTGGGGCCTCTGCAGACTAAGTAGGCAGTGCGCCCCTTTCATTGAAAAAATGAAAATCCTCTTCCCTGGAGAGCGAAGCCTTGGACCCGGCGCCCGGTCACGCTGCGGCCGTTTCGCTCTCCGGCAGCCCAGGTTCGGTGTCCACAGAGATGCAGCAAACACAACCACATAACCTTAAAGGTGCTGTGCAAGTCTACCTGGCCTGGGGCACGAAGGACACCTGGAGCGAGGACAGCAATCTGTCTAGCTTGGGCCCTCTCATCGCCCCTCAGCACAGAACCCCCCAAACTGCTGGGGTGTGTGTCAGCACATTTATGAAATTAAGATCATCCTTACTGCAAAATATTCATATAAATTTTTTAGTATTGCAGTATGAATATAATCTTATGAAAACAATTGCCAAGTTTGTAAATGATATTTTATCTTTTCATATCCACCAGGGGTCACAATTACTGTTTCCTTTTGGGCTCATGACAACTGTAAATACAATGAAGCAAACTGCTCAGGCAGAATTTTGGGGTTTTACACATGTACATTTCATGAAATTGTGTTTGCTTCATTTTAATGGTCAGATAGTGGATGTCAGTCCCCAGTATCCCTAGTTAATACGTGTGACATTGCAGTTGTTTGTAAAGCAAACAGGTAAACAGGACAGGATACATACAAATAGGATAGGATAGGATTTATAGAACTTATATTTTAGGAGGCATTATCGTTTTTTTCTAGCAGTACTAGAAGAGAATTCTTTAAAAATCCACCCGTGTAATCCTGCATGTAGGACTTTTTCCTCTCCTCTGTGCTCTAAGGAGGTTCTCAGGCCAGGAAGAAACACCAAGCATCAAGTGAGAATTTCGTTACTGGACTGCGGTTGTCTTAACGCGGAGCTCAAATGCTTTTATGACACGCTGGGTCACAGGACCCACTGACTCGAGTCATGTGAACTGCACAGGGTCAAATCGGAAACATTACTCAATATTTTAGCTTGTTGTCTGAGGAAATAATGCGTGTGTGTTGCCAAGTAGGAGTTAAGTAAAGCAGGGTTATACTGGGCACATGGAATGAAGCAGTAACTCTGGGGCCAGGAGGAAGGAGCAAACTGCAGTACCTGCCTGCAAGATGCAGGAGTTGTTGATTGGGAAGTTCACGGGAAAAGCAGAGGAGCAGCTTGGAGCTGCTGTCCCGGTCTCTGCGTGCGCTGCAGCCTCCTGCCCTCGCCTGCGTCCGACCAAAACAGGCTGCTCCGCGTCTGGCCGCGTCCCCTTGGCTGCTCGGGAGAACCAAATTGCAGTGCTGGGCTGCCCTGCCACCGAAATGGGAACAAGACAAAGCAAAACAAGAAGCTGAATCTAACCTGCAACTTCAGCCAAACCTGCAGGTCTCAGGGAGATCGTGTTCCCATGAATTTGGGGAAAGTGGGCTACTAGTTAGAGAGATTCCAAGTTGCCTTGTTCCTGAGGGAAAGCCTGAAACTGGAAGCCACCTGCATTGCTACGTGCTGGAGAATTCAGAGAGGAGAGGAAATGCTACGAGGCTTTCCCCTACAGGAAGGGTTTTGATCACAGCTTGTACCTAATTAGGCACAAAGTAACTCAAGCACAACATATAAAGCCACAGGAAACTTGTCTTCATAAGTTCCACTTACAAAACATATAATTTGCACTATATTTGCTCACAGGAGAGGTATCTATTTTTGTTTTCAAACAGAGGCTGCATCAAGCTTGTTTGTTTTTCCCTAGGAGACAAAGTTGCCCTCAGCGAGCACCGCTGCTGAGTTTTAGACCCGAAATGCAAAGAGAACAATAAAATTATAGGCAGCTAAAAATAAGCTGAAAGCATGAGAACAGAGCTGCCACGCTGATTTCTAGGCACCCCATGACTCCTACATGACTGGAAAAACGCCTACAGTAAGAGATGGTGGGTTTTACCCCTCTGATCAGCGCGGGGCGCACGCAGGAAGCCGTGCAGTTGTGTTTCCCTAGGGAAGGCAGGGCCTGCGGGTGAATGGGAACCGCTTCTTGCAGCCTGTAGGGCCAAGAGCTCCCCCAGGCTCCTGGCTGCCCTGGTGTCACTTTACCTGAGGTCCTTATGGGTCTGCAGAAGTGTCAGGAATGCAGACAGTGGAACAGAGGCCTTGGTTAAGGCTTCGTCTCACCATTTCCTGCTTTCACTGCCTCTGCCAACGTTCCTCTAGGCTTTGTGGTGGCTCTTATCTCTGGCTGCGGTTTTCAGGGCTCGCGGGCTGCACAAATACCCACGTGGCTGCTGCACATTCACAAATTGGAAAATGAAAATGGCAGCAGTGGGGTTTTCCCCTTAAGGGAACGGGCCACAAACTGGGAATGCTGCCAGGAAGGTGCAGCCTAGTCCAAATGTGCCCCGAGCTGCTTGTGTCACCTCACGGGTGTGCGGGGTGCTCAGCGGAGCTCTCGCCTCCCCGGCTCGCGCTGCGCTCCGTTAGGAACGGCCTTCCCCGCTCCCGAGGCAGGTGGCACCTCGTGTTGACACGCAGCGCGTCCCGGCAGCGGGAGGAGCGCCGGCCCGCGTCCCCAGCGGATCACGTGGCGTATTAATGGCAACAGCTGGCGAAAACACTCCCTGCGCGCCGGCTGATCCGGGCGTCTGCTGAGGGCTCAGCAAGGCTGACGTGTCCATAAATCTGTGCTGCAAGCCTGAAAACGCAAGCAGCGCGAGACGGAACTTGGACACTTTTTCATTTAATTCTTAGGGTAAATAAGTTACCAGTAACCCATCTGCAGCTCCTTTTTGCTTTCTTTTCCAACAGTTAATTACATTCCAGCTAGTCTGGCACACACTTGTGAACATGTTTTCGCAAACGGCCTGCTTGGCTCGCCTCCACCTGACAGCTTGCCAGCTCCGAGGCCCGACGGCTTCGCTGCTCCGTGTTCAGAGCGTGCGCAGGGAATGGGGAAACGCGGCTCCGTGTTCAGAGCGCGCGCGGGGAATGGGGAAACGCGGCGTCTCCTGCCCGGGGGCGGGCGGC